TTAAGATAAATGAAGTTTAATATCAGTAATTTCATATATTTTTATTTTATGATGGTCATAAGTATGAAGACCTATCATTTTAGACATTTATGACTTATAATTAATAATTATTTATTTTTATAAACAAAAAGTGCAAGTGTGTTGTTTGAAAATAAAAATATTATTTTATATTAATATTCTTTGATCCTTTCAAATTAGTGGTTCAACTATAATAGGTTCTCATTGGACCGACGCAAGTTGTTTGAACTTGAAAATTTTAAAATTCAGCTGTGCCCAACTCCAACTCCAACGCGCATCTTCTTACCATTATCAATACAAATTCACACTATATTGAACACGTAGGCACTAAATTTCTTCACGAATCCGAATCGGAATTGGCGACCATGTTGCCCATCTTTACACACATTTAATATCATTTTCAAATAATTTTCTTCCCCATTTTTCTAAATTTCAATTCGGGAAAGATGCATACACATGCAACCATGACTAGAACAATATGATTAGTCTTAGACTCGGCTTCCGTAGATTATTTTTGTATTTGATATATTTCTAAACAAATAAAAAATAATAATAATAACTTTAAGGAGGACACGTGGCAAAAAGGGAAATTGACACGTGGAAAAGAAGTGGAAATTAGGGTTTTGAAATGGGGGTAAGAAGCATAGGGTTCCAACTTGAACATGATGGGTGGGGGTACCGACGTTCTTTCAAACAAATTTGACTCTTCGCCTTTGACTTTTTTTTTTTTTTTTTAATTTATTTATGGAGTACCGAAAAGTACATTAAATGTTTTTAAGCTAATCTAATATTCTGACTACTCCCTGTTTTAGTCATCTTCCGTACAGTGGGATATAGTTTAATTCGTATATTTCTCAACTACCCATTTTCATATTATTGTTGCTTCTCGATCTTAAATAATAATAATAAAAAACGAACGGATTAAAAAAAGTTAGTTAGATTTGTAATAATTTGATTAAAAGAAAAGCTTTATAGGTGGGAGTTGAATTGAATTAATCAAAGTTAGTTAATTTCAATGTGCATTCTTCATGATGTGATTCGTATTTAAATACTTTAAATTTTAGAAATTTCATTATAATAAATCTAATCAATATTATAATTATGAAACTGAGATGAATTCTCTAATTTGTCCAAATATTGGAAATTTTAATTTTTTTAAATAGTAGGTGGTAGATATATGTGTAACAACGCTAAGGACTTCATAGTTGGTTCATAATAGGAGACCCTAAACATCTCTAGTCAAATCACATCTAGACCCGTTGATAAGCACAAGAGGCGTCTACCACAAAACCCTACTTCAGTAGTTGATAAAGTAGCTATAGGTTGTTTTTTGGAGGACCTAAACACAACTCCTTCTTTGAGTGAAAACACATAACAAGAAGTGTTTTTTTTATCATCTACTTCTCCCATAATCACTGTTAGTAGTATATGCTATCAACTCTCCATTACCTTTTTTTGATAAAGGACTCTCAAATCCACATTACCTTTCAAGTATCTCAACACCCTTTTTGCAGCTTGTAAATGCAACTCATTGGACTTGCTATAAATCTGCTAATGAGAGACACATCAAATTCATCCTTGTTATAGTTAGATACATACGAATTTCAATCAATTGTTTGTAAATGGTAGCATTGAACGTGACTCCTTTATCCTTTCTTAGTTTAACCCCAAGAACAATATGATTCTCCGCAATATTACTCTTCTTCATCCTAACTTCTCCCGAACTTCTTTTACGTACTTTTTCTGATTAATATAAATGCCTTTAAAACCTCTGCATCAAGAAAATATTTCATTTTCTCCCAAACTTATTTTGCATACTTGACAAACATGCTCTCATTGTCACCAGTAAAAGTTAGATCGTCAACATATAGACAAACAATCAAAATTTTATCTCAATCTTCTGTTTGTATGAGTAAAGTATGGTCATAGTTACACTTCTCAAATTCTTCTTTGACAAAATGTGCTTCAATTTGAGTATATCATGCACGTGAGTCTAGTTTAAGACCATATAATATCTTCTTCAATTTGTACCCCTTGTACTCTTCACCTTTTTTTTTTTTATTTTTTCTATTTATCTTGTGGTTGCTCAAAAAATACGGCTTCATTTAACTCTCCATACAAGAAATCACTTTTCACGTCATGCTAATACAGGCTCCAACTATTTCGAGTACCTAAAGCAATTATCATTCGAATAGTATCTCACCTAACCATAGGTGCAAACACACGGTATAGTCTATACCATGTTGTTGTGCATACACATTTTCCACCAACCTAGCCTTATACACAACTTCGCTATTTTGTTGAGTTTAATTTTGAAAACTCACTTTACTCCAATCTTCTTCGTTCCTTTAGGAAAATCTGTTAACTCCTAAGTCTCATTTTTTTCGATGACTTCTATCTCCAAGTACATTACAACTCTTCCTTTTGAACTTGAATAGTTTCTTCAAAGGTAGTCAGATCGGTAGTTGAGGTTAATAGAATTAAATTAGTGAAGATATACTAAATTCTTTTTCTTCTTCTGCTACCACCTTCTCTTCTGATTCTTCCGCTCTTTGGTCTTGTTCGCTTCCTTCTGTATTACTATCTTCCCATTCAAGGGTATAAAGTCTAGCTTCTTCATTACTTTTCCCTAAATCTCAACACTTATTTTCTTTAAAAATCACATCTCTGCTTACAACTATCTTCTTGGATAGTGGATCAAAGAGTCTATTTGCTTTAGACTCTTCACTCATCCCTACGACTACGCACTAGAAACTTTTATCATCTAACTTTTTTTTGTTACTGTTTGGTACATGAACATGACTATGCATCCAAAAACTCGAAAATAATCGACATTAGGTTTTATGTCACTCTAAGCCTCCTTAGGAGTTATATCTTTCGGTACCACTATAGAACTTTTGTTGAGCACGTGCACGGTCCAATTTATTACTTCTTGTCAGAAATTTTTTGGAACTTGCTTCTCTCTTCTAAGCATGTTCATGCTTGTTCTATTCTTGTGCTCAGTACTCCATTTTGTTGGAGAGTGTAGACTGCAGCAAGTTGCCTACGAATACCATTAGTTTTGCAAGAAATACTAAACTCGTGAGAGGTGAACTCTACACCTATTTGTGTGCAGACAACGAATAAAATCTCCCGTCTTTTTCTCAATAGGATTTTTATGATTCTAGACGATAGTAAAAGCTTTAGATTTTTCAACAAAAAAAAATAATAATAATATATTCACACCTTGCGGTTATAATCATTAATAAAACTTATGAAATGTCTCTTCTTATGGTTGGAAAGAGGTTTGATGGGTCCATAATGTCTACACTTACCAAATTGTAGCCTTTAGGTTACTCTCCATAAACTTCTCTTTGGAAATGCATCTGTGTGTTGCTTTCCGACTATACAATTAGTGCTTATTTTAGATGATACCTTATAAATGTCTACACGTACATATTAGTGCTTATTTGGTGGTCCTAACATCCCTAAAGAAATGGTCTAATCTAACAATTTCAACACTAAAGAAGTCTAATTTTACAATTTCAACTGTCTAATCTAACCATGGTTATGAACTATAATTAACATCTATATTTAAAAATTTTCAAATTGATCATAGTTTCCTATTATTCCTTTTTTTTTTCCCCCTCTCAAAAGGAGACATACTTAATTCATGATTACTACAAAAGGGCACCCTGCAACTGTTGCTAATATCGACAGCCTTCTTTTCACAAATGCTACTACTTTTTGTACCAAAACATTGATCACCTCATCTTTTCTCAAGTGGAGGTGTCATTTAAGTGCCTTAAAAGTTAATGCCAAATAGAAAAAAGCTTGTTTATTTAGCTTAACATTCTTCGAATAATTAAAAATAGGACATATTTCCAAATATTTCCTTTTTAAAGAACAACATACCCTTTAACCACATAAGTTGGGTTTAGATTAAATCTCACACGGATACATGTTTTGTTTATATTATATTCGATCAATAATTGTGCACATGGATAGATAAAAATATGAAGATGATGCTTAAAATAAGATAGACTTGAGATTCTAATTTTTTTTAGGTTTTTATTGAATGAGCAAAAGTTTTTAAGTGGAGAGCTTTTTTAAAGAAAGTTAATTAAATAATTTTCTTAATCTAGTTTAACCCTTCTTAAAATTACTTTTTTATATCATTTTTTTTTATTAAAACCGGATGGCATCGTAAATATTTCTAACATTTTATAAATATTTAAACAAAATTGAGTTGATTTAAATTTATTTTAGATAAAACATTAATTATTATTTAAAAACGTTATATGAGTTAGGTTTGAATTGAATGAGGTTGGCATCCATAGAACGAAAAAGAAACAAAGATTTGAATGCAAAGGCGTTTAGAGAGGATGAGATGAAGAAAAGGTGGTGGCGTATCCACCGCCCGTAGCAGATAAGCCAAGCCAAAAACGGAGGAATGGACAACCGCCACGTCAACCAACAACACAATGTCCCCTTCACGCTGCACTTCAACCTCAGGGGTCACCCAATTTTGGCATCTCACCCAAACCCAAACGAATATTCTTATTACATCTTCGTAATAATCTTAAAATTAAGATAAGATTGGATCGTAACTCTGTTTTTTTGGTTGATGGATCACAAAGATGTTAACTTGTTGATCTTCGGACAGTTTACCAGCATTTATGGTTTGAATTGAGTAAGAATTCAACATTTGTGAAGGATGATTATCATAATCGGATCCCTATTTACTTTACCATCCTCTCCTCCCTTCCCCTCATTTATGATTCCCATTCCCACGCTCCAAAATAAATACAGAATCTCCGTCGGAAACCCAACAGCTACTCCTCTTTAATTTTCATTTTCCCCTTTTTTTTTTTTTTTTTTTTTTTTTTTTTTAATTATAAAATTCCAGAATAATTGAAAGATTAGAAAGAAAGAAAGAAAGAAAAAAAAGGTAGATAAAATAAAAATAATGTTGTGGTTTCTGGGTGGCTCCTGTCTTGCATCCAGTTTGGTTGGAGGTATAAATAAGCAAGAAGGAAGCAGAGGGTCCAATGGAACTAATTCACGCAGACACAAAAGGGGTTGCAGAAGGAAAGCAAAGTATTCTTGGGAAACTGGGAGCCGTTCCTTCCCAGCGGGGGAGCTTTTCTCTCCTCTTCCCTTTCCTTTTCCAACTCTACCTCTCTCCATCTCCCTGTTCTTCGCCTTCTTCAAACTCCCCGCTCATTTCCTGTTGTTGGAATGTCAATCCGGAAGGATATGGGGAAGTATGACCCCATCAAACCACTCCATGACTGTGATCTCGCCAATGAGACTGCTGTTCTCATAAATCCAGATTCCCTGACTCTCTTCTCTGTTTCTCACCACTGTAATCACTCTCATGAAGATGTTGAGATGGCTCTTCTTGATTCTCATTCCAGATCTCCTCTTCCTCTTCACAATGCCAATCCCTTAACTCCTCCTGCTTCTTCCAAACTCGATGACGCCCAATTTTCCTCTTCGGCTAGGCCCGTTCTCCGATCTTCTCCCCAAGGCCAACGTCTTGCTTCGCTCGATGTATTTCGCGGCATCACTGTTGCGGTAATCATTTTTTTTCATTTCCTTTCTTGCTTTCTTTCTTTCTTTCTTTTTCCCCTTATTGCTTTTGTTGTTAAACTTATTTGTTGGATTTTGTTGATGTTCTTCTATTGGATGGAATGATCTTATTTCTTGTTTGTACTATCGGCCATTGAGATTTCTCGTAGCCGATGGACCGGAGGAGAAAGAACATTGGTCTCATTGTGGTCTTGTGTTTTACTATTTTTTTAAAAGAAACAAAAATATCAGGATTTGACTTCCAGAATTTTACCGGCCATCGGTGGAGATTGGAAGAAATAATATCTATTTTGACTTTTAAAATTGAAGTTTCTGATTGGGGGAGGAGGGTTTCAGTATTAATTGTAGGTTTTTTGATCCTCGAATCATGAAATGAGTTCCTTCATTTGAGGCGATTTTAGGGGAAGGGATGAAACCTAATTCTGACCATGTTTCCCAATTTTTTGTTTTGGAAATGAATTATTCCCCGATTGGTTTTTCTTCTAAAAAAGAAAAAAGTTCTTACCATAATTTCAAGTTACCCCCTCCCTCTCCTTATTTGTTTTAAATAAAAATATATCATGTTCTTCAATCTATCACCATCCATTTGTCAACTCTTTTGAATAAACAAACGGGATGCTGATCGGTGAAGCATATAGTTTGGTGGTGGCAGAAACAGGAGGGGTCGTTAATTGGGTTTAAAAATTATATTATACCAAACCGCGTGCAATGAAGCAGGCACATTATTTGTGTAGGACATGCATGATGACGCAGCAAGCAAGCTTCATGGTCTTGCTGGTCGTCTTCAATGGCGACCGGTTTAGAACATTGCTTGAAGAAGAAAAAGGAGAAGAACCCTTCAACCCTTCTTTTTCATTTGTTTTCTCTCTGGCTTTGCCCTGAAGAAACCATGAACAAAACACTTCCTTGCGGCAACTTTACTCATTTTTATGCACAGATGTTAGACGGATACGCAAAGATCCATTTGCATCTTTTGACCCGTTCCTTTGATGTGATTTTTCACCCGTGTTTATTTAGGTGTAGCTGTTCAGCATAATCTTTCTGGTGCTTTTAATTATTTTAAACAATTTGTGGGCTTCCGATTTGGCAACCTTTCTTTTTATCGGTTAGGTTACTGTCCAGAGTTGCTTTGAGGACTGACATGCTTGGATACTTCACATGTCGCCATGCCCAACCATGGGGCGCTGGATTCAATTTTTGGAATTCTCTGGAAGGAAATAGTTAAAAAGTTCCCAACTTTAGAGCCAGTAATTCTAATTTACTATATAATTTTGGGGCATGTTAGAGAGAACTTCAAATTCTGACCTTTTTTTTTTCTCACAATTTATTTTAATGTAAGGTCAACCTGAACCATCCCTTGTTTTTTTTTTTTTCTCTTTTCATAAGTTTATGCTGCCTCTACACAGAAATCTTCATATAGTTTGATTGTGGCGAGCATGTTGAAAAGCTCAAGTTCAATAAGTTGACTTTGTTTTAATTATCTATTGAATGAGGTATGGAAATGATCAATGGGAAAGAAAACAAAACAATAATAGTTTCTTGATCTGGTCTACATTACTTGATCAGTGGATTCATACATCTGAATATAAGACGCTTCTTCTTTCTTCCGACAATTGGGTATCAATTATTATGAGCGCATTTTGTTTGGCTTTGATGTTGTATTTAGAAGTGAAGTTTTTATTGTGTAACGTCTCTCAAACGCGTTACGGGGTTAATGACTATTCATTTGGCGTGGAAAATAATGCAATAGCGTTACAGAGACTACAAAAGACTAAACGTTATGAATGATTATTATGTGAACTTAAATACAATGTATTAATTGCACCCTTTTATCATTATTTGTTTGCAGCTAATGATAGTTGTGGACTATGGTGGTGGGGTTATGCCTGCAATAAACCATTCACCATGGGATGGGTTAACCCTGGCAGATCTTGTAATGCCATTTTTTCTATTCATTGTTGGAGTTTCGCTTGCCCTTGCTTACAAGGTGATTCTTTATTCATTGCCCTTTAACTTCCAAGCAATTGAAAACTTCAAAAACACTAATGTCTTTATTTTTAAAATTTGAATTATGTTCTTTTTACTTGGCATGTCATTGCCATTCATTTACTAAGCTTGAGAATTTCAAAAATCAAATTTGAATAAGTTCTGTAGGATGTATTATATTCCACTATTCCAACTACTTTTTACCCCAACATTAAGAAGATTATTATTGTTGTTGACCATTCCCCCACGTGAAGAGTTTGCTTTTATTTTCCTTTCCCCTTTACACAGAAAATTCCAAGCCGAGGCATTGCAACTCAGAAGGCTGTGTTACGGACGTTGAAGCTCTTGTTCTTAGGCCTCTTCCTTCAAGGTAAGTTATGAGAAATGTAATATTTATTCAATGTAAATCTTAGAATGTGTTCTCTCATCCGGAAGGGAATTGATCAAAACTAGTGAACTTTCTAAATTTCAATGCATAAGAGATTGTTTTAAATATTTGAGCGAGTTAGGTACAGTGCATTATTTTGAGAGATCCATGCTGAAAAGTAATCTTCTCTGTTCAGGAGGCTTTCTCCATGGCATAAACAATCTAACTTATGGAGTGGATATCCAGCAAATTAGATGGATGGGAATCTTACAGGTAACATTTTTCCTCTACGGTGACGCTGTACCGTTTGTTTCTTCAATTGTTTGCTATTTACTCGTTACTCTTTCCAGTTATTTTATGGTTTTCTTCCCTTCTCTACAGAGAATTGCAATAGCATACTTTCTGGCAGCTGTGTGTGAGATATGGCTAAAGGGAAGTGATTATGTGAATTCAGAAACTGCATTGCGGAGAAAGTATCAATTACAGCTGTAAGATTCTTGAATGTCTTTTTATTATCTTTTTCCTCTTTAAATTTGTATCTCTTCAATCTAACCTTTTGATTTTCATTGGAACAATATTGGGCTTCTTTAACTCATTTTTCAGGGTTGTTTTTATATTTATTCTAAATATTGCCAACTTCCTCTCAACAGGGTTGTTGCTGTCATCCTCACTACGTTATATCTTGTCCTGTCATATGGACTGTACGTTCCTGATTGGGAGTATCAAGTTCCAAGTCAATCTACTTCCAATATGGCTTCTCCAAAGATATTTTCTGTGAGTATTGAATCTTTTAAGTCATATTATTTTCATTGATGGGTTAAGAATTCCGGATTAGTTAGTTATAATTGGTTGCTTGAATGGCTTTCTCACTTAGTGCCCAATTTCAGGTGAAATGTGGCACACGTGGTGACACTGGACCAGCTTGCAATGCTGTGGGAATGATAGATCGTAAGATATTTGGTATTCAACATCTGTATAAAAGACCTATTTATGCACGGTCTGAGGTGAATATTTGAGGACACTATTGTTTACTCCCTATAGGTTGTGCTTATCCTGATACTTCATTCTTTTCTTTTTTTTCTGTCTGTTCTCAGCAATGCAGCATTAATTCACCAGACTATGGTCCATTGCCTCCTAATGCTCCTTCTTGGTGTCAAGCTCCTTTTGATCCCGAAGGAATTTTAAGGTATCCATCTTTATTTTGATTCTATCTATATGCAATAAATTGGAGGCAATGCACAAAATTTACTGCAGTTTCAGTTTGTTATTCTTATCGTATCTCGTTGAATTTTGTAGCACAGTGATGGCTGTTGTGACCTGCTTGGTTGGCTTGCATTACGGGCATATCATTGTACATTTCAAAGTGAGTGAGACACTGCATCGTACATTGTACTTTTGCATACACTCGTGTGTGCATGAGTAAATTCTTTTTCGTCTGTCCTATGTAGAAAACAACAATTTCTTATCTATCTTATCAACTTGCAGGATCACCGAGACAGAATGCTTCATTGGATTATTCCTTCTTCTTGTTTAATTGTGTTGGCCATTGGGTTAGACTTCTTAGGTGAGTGAAATTCGGTCCATTTGATGATATGATAGAAAGATTGAAGGGACAAGGACAAATAGTAACTCAAATTCTCTTGCAGGGATGCATATAAATAAGGTTCTTTATACAGTTAGTTACATGAGTGTCACTACTGGTGCAGCCGGACTTCTCTTTACCGGGATATACTTGATGGTATAAAACAACTTCATTCTCTGATCTCTATCATGGTTATCGACAAGCACGGTTAACGACTGATTGTGTATGGTTGATGCAGGTTGATGTGTACAGATGGAGGCGCATGAATGTGGTGATGGAGTGGATGGGAAAGCATGCATTGGTGATATATGTGCTGGCTGCCTGTAACGTGCTGCCTGTGGTTCTCCAAGGCTTCTACTCAGGGCAGCCACAGAACAACATCGTAAGTTTGCTTCCCTTAATGAAATGAATTGACACAGTCGTATCCACATTACTAGAGTGGTTGATTCTGAGATGTTATATATGTTTATGCAATTGGCAGCTGAGACTAATTGGAATTACAACGTGAAATGGTGTTGTGGTGGAAGTGGCCTCTTGAGAGTCCAAATGCTTCAAAGGTCTGTCCTTTGCAATATATAGACTTGACCACATAGCATCATGATGGTTATGTCCATTGGTGGTTGATTGATATTTTCTATTAAAAGAGGAAGGAACAATAAAAAAGAGAGGTATATGCTCGCTAGCTCGATCAAGCACTCGCTCGGCTCGTCCCTAATAGAGAAGATGTAGTTTAGTTTTGTGTAAAAATGTGTAGAAGGGGAATTGAATGGGAAGCTATATATTTATTATTTAGTAGGTGATCTGCCTTGACACATCACTACACTGTATTATGAGTTTTTAGAAGATGATAAATGATGATGAGCTTTAAATCATTCCTGGGTTTATGCAGGAAAGTTATATATGATATCATGAATGAATGAATTGTGTAGTTTTGTACTGAAGTAGGATGATGATGATGATGATGATGGCGGCCTACCAACATTTCCAGGCTTTTTCAACATAATTTATACATTCGTGAACTGTTTTGAGGAATCTGAATCGGAATCCGAATCTGATTCTGATTGAATTCAAGAAAGTTGAATTCCAAGGTTGGTTCCTTTTTACCAGATGCTTTCAATGTTGAAGAATAGCCATTCATGTTGCAACGGTACCACATTCATTTGATTTGGCTTCTTTTTCTGACATCTTCTTTACCTAATAAACCCTCTTCTTCCATCCGTTGATTTTGCCCCTATGCTATCATTTTTTTAGACTGTTAAAGTGATCTTTACACTATCCTCCACCATTCTATTATTTACAATAAAATAGTTGCAACTGTAATCACAAACTTTTCATTTTATTAAATTTAGAAGGGTGGTGTTAGTACTTCTACAGTTTATGCCTCTTTGCTACCTACCTCTACTCCCCAACCATAAAACAAATATAAAACTCACTTTTTTTTAAGAGTAATGAAAACCTCTTGAAAAGAAAAAGATGATGTTGGAGAATAAATTCTGAGATAAAAGTGTTAGAAAACTGCGTAACAAACATACTCTTAACTTGGCTCTCTTCATTCTCATCTAACAAAAATCAGATATATTTTACTTCTTGGCCCTGTAGTGAGCTTAAGGTATGCCCAAACTCATGGGTAAAAGTACTTTGGAATATTTAGTTTTGAAAGTTAAGGAACATTTTCAAAGTATTACTTGTGGGTAAAAGTACTCTAGTTCTAGCGTCCTCATTTCTACCACAACATAAAGCATAAAAATCGACGTGTATCTTAAATTCTCTTCCTAGGAACATTTTCATAATTTTTCATAACATACCTGGTACACTTATCCAAAATTGCCCCTTTAGAGTCTTAACCAAGCATTTTTTAACCATTTAAGAGAAGATATGCTTGTATGCTAGCATGTTCTAGCGATCCTTAAAAGTATTACTTGTGAAAAGTCTTAATGGCAACTTACATGGATGACATGTGCCTTCCCAAGCTTGGTTTTCTACTCGCTATGAGCTCCAAATTCTTTAAAATTTCTTTGGTATGTCCTAATTCAAGTTAAAATAAGATTAGTATCGAAATCGAGACGAATAACAGTTGAACGCTTGTCAAATGAGAGAAAAGGAGCCCACCACACACTCCTCATTCAGCTAGAAGGTCTATTATGTGCAAGTATACATGTGAGTAAGCCACGCTCCTAGGTGTTACACGCGTCTTCGGTGTCATGGTCATGCTTGTCCAAGGTGTGTTGTCTATGGCCGCATGTCGGATATCCCGGTCATGCTTATTCAAGACGTGTTGTCCATGACTGTATGTTCGTTTCAAACCCCTTTTATATGCTTTCATCTTAGGTAGATCTTTACCATTTCATGTTGTGTTAATGCAAGGATGTATGTCCAGTCACCAAAATCATGTCTACATCCGTCAAGACTAAAATGTCCCAAAATGTTCTACAGGGGAAGGCGACTAGTCTATTCTTCCAACTCTGAGCTATTTGTTATTTAAGCCGTGGTGTTTCTTTCTTTGCATATAGCCATATAACGTTATTTTCTTCAATCCTTTTAAATTGTTTTCAAATGTATTCCTTGGTCATATTTTCTAAAACATTTCTAGCAAATGTGACCCGAAGCTCAAGCATACACTAACATTATCTGCGAAATCCGAATTTCTCACGGATGACTTGTTCGTTTGGTTAGAACAAATGTCGCACAATCACTATCCCGTTAATGCAAAAGTATGATTGTGACACTTGGCTCTAAGACATGTGTTAATCGATGTGCAACACATGTCCTTCCTATAGAAACTTTTTTTTTTCATTTTAAAGTGCGATTGTGACATTCGGCTCTAAGACATGTCTTAATTGATGCGCACCACATGTACGCCACATGTACGTCTGATAGAAGCTTTTCCTTCATCTTTTTTACAAATTGGAATCAAACTTATTCCTTCACTACAATGGTAGAGTATTTGTAATACTCCCAAAAAAAAAATAAAAAAAAATAATTCGGTCAAAGCCCAAAGGAAAAAATGAACATTTTACCCCTTAGCCCAAGGGGTCGTGAGGGTTCTCCACAGAATTTCTGCAAAAGAAAGTTTGAGAGAGAAAACTGAATAGCAAGAGTCTTAGTCGGAGAGTCACTGACGGAATCCATTCCCTACTAAGACCTACACTAGAGTCCTTCTTGGAGAGAAGTAAGAACTCGTGTTGTTGAGATTTCCTCCTCTTTCGTAAAGATCAGAAAGAAAACCCGCAAGGTAAGATTTCGAACGATACTTTTCAGATCTGGGATGAAACGTCCAGATTTGAGAGAATATTTCCAAGAACGGTAAGAATGTTACCGGACTTCTTTCCGATGCTCATAACTCATCGTATGACTAAGTAAAAATCAAGAAAAAAATATTGGTACATAGGTTGAAGTATGATCTAAAACATTGTTGAAAAAGCCATTACTGTTTGGATTAAGAATCGAGAGATAGAAATGGAAAGAACCTCGAAAAAATAATCGGATAAGCCGCCGGCGTGCCACGTGTCAACCGGCTAGAGGACCGCATGCGCCAACCACCTTCGGACACGTGTCTAACGCCGCCTGGGAAAACGCAGCTCCAACCTCCCTGCGACACGCGTCCTCGGCAACGCAACCCGGCCCGCATCCCTCGGTTGACTAGGTACCCGCGCGGCGAACCGAACCAAACCGAACCGACGACCCGCGGTCAACCCGAACCGCTGTTTCTGAACCGAACTGGCGACCCGCGACTGCAGAAAATCCAGAGCGCGTGACACTCGCGCGTGGAACCTGCGAGTGGTTGCACCCCGACGAGTGGCTGGCGCGTGGAAGCTTGTGTAAACTCATTTTCGACCGGTTCGACTTCAGTTTTTCCTATTTTCCTCGTGATTCCAATCCTAACTCCATTTTATATGAAATAGGACCTAATTGAAGAAAATCAATACCTTTTGATATGCCAATTGTGTGGAAACGCTGCGTTAGGACACGCATCACCCAAGTAAGTCATCACACAGAATTTTAGGAAGTAAAACTTGTAGGAGTCGCTTGGAATGCATGCATGCTAGTTTAATTGTCTTAGGTCATAGCTTTCCGTTATTGATCGTAGGTAATTGATTTTTAAAAGCAAGATGTATGGTGTGGATTATTATGAGAATTACCTGAGTACTAATGTTATGTTGTAAGTTTCCATTCATTATGATTATGTATACTTCATGCTGAAAGGAGGATGGAAATTTGTGAAATCTGCGCTCTGGGAGTTTATGGATGTTATCGCCCCGTTGAGCATGTATGTTAATTTTGCATGAACTTTGTATGATGGTGTTGGATGATTGTAGTTTCATATTCAATTAATTTTCGTGACCCACTAGTATAATAAAGTCTAGAATTTGTGAATAGAGCGACAAGTCACCAAGGAATAGACTTAACCTTTCCCTAGTAATCTAACAGACCATCACGACATACAACCCACTTCTAGAGTACCCTTAGGCTACTTGTGTGTGGATGGTGTTATAGCTTCGTGGGGGACCAGCGGGTTCCTGATCAAGACTCGACTGCTCGATAGCCGTTTAGTATGGGATGCGGGATACCCACGTCGTAAGTGACCATTTAGCTGGATGGGATAGGGAAGGTAGCCCTCCCAAATACAGGGGGATTACCATGGGGCTATGGGGTTGCAGCTCACTTCCTAGGCAAGAACCCTGGTAATCTCATACCCATGTCGAGCTAGCCACTCGCAAGTCACTAACCCAACATAGGTTAGCATAAAAGGAACTCTAGGGGTATAAATAGAAAGTCTAAGAACCAGAGAAGCCGAAGGGACAAGTCCCAAGGGGGAAGCCCTAACGAGGTAAGACCAGAACCAAATGTTCTAGAGCCAAAGGGAAGTCCGTGGTTGTTTGTTAAGTTTAGGGTGCGACGAGAGCCTACAAGTAGGTAGCTTATTGAGTATAATTTTTATACTCATTCTTGCTATACCTTTTTTTTTTCAAGTACGTGAGGCGTCGAGTCAAGAGAGGGCGCGTTGATTGATGTGAGTTGTCACAGAGGAAGCGTGCCCCAGGGCGTCAGTCTAGTTTTACTAAATAGTACACTTTGTCTTTCATGTTTTCCTTCTTGTTTTTACCTAAACACATGTCCTTCTGGTAATAAAACATTTTTTTTTTTTACAAAATAAATGAAATACTTCTAGAATAATGTTTTCCTTGAATTTCTAGCTTACACACTACATGTCATAGTCATTGTAAGTCACGGTTTGAGGTTATTTATTTCGGGCCGTGACAGTATTAATCCATATTTCCGTCAAAATTATTTATATTATATTATGTTTTGTTAATTGCGAAGAGAAATAAATCCACGAATAGTTCGTCCAAAACTAAAAACTTGCCAGGCTTATCAGGGCATCACTTTCTGTTCCGATCTGACTCAAGGTTTCTTCATGAAAGTTGAGTGGTATCATCACAAGAACAACATATTAAAAATTCAGAACCTAACTCTACAAGAATCTCACAGATCGAGAGTAAAATCGAGAACAAAAATTTGAAATCCCTACCCTCTCGTTTTTATTTTATTATTATTATTTTTTTTTTTTTTTTGTGGATTTGGAGGATGCAAGAGTCTAGATTCATTGTCTTCAACATCCTAAGCAAGTTTTGTGAATGGATCGTGATCGAAAAATACCTTTTCATGTCTGAATCTTCAATAAAACTTTATCTCTAAAGGAAAATTTTGAAAATTAATTGTTATCTTTGGCTGGAGTCTTACCTATTATGACTATTTTTTGTTTTTTTATTTGAAATAACCATATGGAGAATGTTGAAATTGGATGAAATTTTATTTATATTGTGGTTTTGACACATATTGTTGATCTCATTTATCAGTTCCTCATTCTTTTCAATCATATATGTAATGTTGCGAATGTGCTTTATATTTCTGACGCTATTT